TGAGCTGTTGCCCTTTTTGGACGAAATTTCTGCTCCTCCAGTCTGTCACAGACACTACCAGTGTACGGTATGGGCGGGGCTCAGTCTAGTGATGTATAAATCTGCTGTTTTACATGGTTGTTGAATGAAATTAACATAATTATTCATTTATTGTAAAAACATGACCGGTGATCTTTGAAACAGATCCAGTTCAACTTGCTGTTTATCTATTAGTTTCCATGGAGGCTGTGAGCTGTTGCCCTTTTTGGACGCAATTTCTGCTCCTCCATGCTGTAACAGACGCTACCAGTGGACGGTATGGGCGGGGTTCAGTCTAGTGATGTTTAAGTCTATGGCTGCAACTCAATCTGCTGCCTTTTTTTTAAAGCAATGTGATGAGTTGTTTGGTAAAATACTATCTGATAAACCCATATTCAATTTAAATTTATTGTAATATTTCAAATATTCATGCTGCTGCTCTCTGTATGACGTTTTCAATAACTGATTAAGATTAATTTAAAAATTACATCAGAAAACTTGCAAAAGCTAAAATAATCTATAATATAAAAAGTGTTTTGTTTTCAAAACGGTCGGCAAAGTTGTTTGCAACAGAAATCAGCCGAACTGGAAAAGCTATTGGTATGTTACCGTCATACCACACCTTTAGGTTGCTCAATCTACAGCGAGTTACGGCTGTAAAAATGTAAACAATACAAAAAACAAGTGATTTTAGATGGATAAACACACAATTAACAGCCCAGTRAGTCACACTGCCCTCTGAGGATGGGGTCGGGGTCACGCACTGACCTCACTCTGCCCTTGCTTCTCTCTGTTTTGACTCTCCAGCAGCTCGTCCTCCACGCCRGGGGGTACGTCGTAGATGACCTGCTGAATGTCTCTGTCGGGCCCGGAGAGGCCCTGGAGCCCCTCCAGGAGCCTCACGAGCAGCAGGTTTTCAGGTAGCTCCTCCACGGTCCGGACCAGGGCGGGGGCGCCGCACTCCGGGCAGAGGAGCTGGGAGCAGGAAGCCTCCTCCTGCCTCTGCAGGCAAGTCACACAGAAAGTGTGCTGGCAGGGCAGGACCTTGGCAGACGTGTCCAACTGCTCCAAACAAAGGGGACATTCCAGCAAGGCCGTCAGTGCCAGACCCTCCATTTTAGAAGGCCCGCCGGGCTTGGAGAAGAGGGCTCCTGGTACTTCTGAAATACTGTAATCCACCATGCTGAGAAGAAAGGTAACGACAGGTTCAATCAGAGGTCACAGAACGACACATTTACACTTATATTATTATTATTTGTAGAATAAAAGCCTTAGTTATAAACAACCACTGAAAGGAGGCAGTCAATGATATTTTAGCCTGTATGTATTTGTCTGTTAGCAAAATATTGCATGAACCACAGGGTGCATTTTAATAAATGTTCAGAAATGAGTCATTGGATGRTCATCTACAAATGACCAACRTCTGGTGTTCATCCAYTACAAAATGGCAGCCACAGTTCATTAACAGTAAACACAAAAAATTAATAAAATTTTGCAGTGTAATTTGAAGTGGGAGTTGTTCACAACACATATGGTGATAACAGGCTTGTTTTTACAAGTTTGACCTTAAAGGGGTTTCTCAACATTAAGAGGGTTTCCCTTTAAAACTTTTACAACTTTTACTTTTTTTGTCGCCGCTTGTTTACAGGTGTCCTCTCGAGCTCACCTGTCTACAGGTAAGGACAACAGGAAGTCCTCGCGGACATTCACGTGTTTATTTGACGGAAATAAAACAGTATCATTTCACACTTACGTTCACATTTGCCTGCGGTCTGCCGGACTCAGTTTTCATAAACACGGGTTTTTATATAAAAGTCGTAATTCCGTCGTTTTCGTCGCCATGTGGGAGAACTCCGAGGAGGTGGTGGTGGTTCGCCTCGAGCGGGGAGGGGCGCGCGAGTTTAACTTTAACATTAACAGCGTCTCGTGCCGAATTACCTGCCGACACGAAGAAACTCACCTGTGGAACCTATGCCCGAAAAGAACCGGTAGAAAACAAAGTGTTCCGACCGCGGCCGGGCTAATTCATCAGGAACTGGGTCGGATTTCAGAGACATGACGAACCTAATTTAACCCTTAAACACCTCCTGTTCGCCTTCAGGAATTTAGACATGGTTGGGTCATTTTTGGGAACAATTGCACCATTGTTTTACACTTAGCACAAAAAAGTTGGTCATTTATTTTATAGTTGTAACAAAACTATTTCCTGGATAGGTGTTGTTGGACAAAAGTATTTATTTGCCATTAATTGGTGCATTAGTGTTAAGAAAATGTATTGGTGGGCGCCTCCTTTGCTAAATCATCTTTGACAATGCCACACAGTTTATTTTGCTGCTCATTGTGTCGTTTATTTGGATTATATTATTGAGGTTTGAAGAAACAAAACAATTTATTCCTTAACACCTGTCAAACTTAAGGCCCGCAGGCCAAATGTGGCGAGCAGGTGACTTCTTTTAGGCTCACCAGTGAACCCCATAAATAAATAAATGAATACATACATACATACATACATACATACATACATACATACATACA